TGATGTCAGGGTCAGGATCAGGATGATGTCAGGATCAGGATCAGGATGATGTCAGGATCAGGATCAGGATGATGTCAGGATCAGGATCAGGACGATGTCAGGATCAAGATCAGGATGATGTCAGGATCAGGATCAGGACGATGTCAGGATCAGGATCAGGACGATGTCAGGATCAGGATCAGGACGATGTCAGGATCAGGATCCTGTGTACGTTTGAGTTCACACCATAAAACCTTTGTCTGTTTTGTTGTCTTCAGTTTAGGGTCGGACGTTTGCTGCGTCCTGCGTCTGTCCGGACCTCTCAAACAACAGTATGCTCAGGTGAGATCTGCACCACCAACACACACACACACTCACAGACCACATCACCATGGTAACTCCGATGATCTCATGCTGGTCTGCAGGAACACGGACTGGACCTGGACCAGTTGCTGGGCCCTGGTCTTTATAAGGAGCAGTTTCGGGCCAATATGATTTGCTGGGGAGAAACTCGACGACGGCGTGACCCTGGATTCTTCTGTCGCCTAGCAACCAGAGGAGCATGTCAACCAGTCTGGGTACTCCTGTATCCAAGCAACTCAAAATGAACTGTGCCCTCACAAGCGTCTCTGATTGGTCAGGTGGTGAGTGATGCTCTGCTCTGATTGGTCAGGTGGTGAGTGACGCGCGGCGGCTGTCAGACCTTCAGTGGTTCAGGTCGGAGTTTCCTCAACAAACTCGAAGTGTCAGAGTTCAAAGTTCAGAGGAAACCAGGACAAAGAGGGGGTGGAGCTTCACTGCAGGTAAGGCGTGTCTATGTGTGTGTGTGGGGGAAGCTTTGGACTCATTGGTTACCTGTCTCTCCACCAAGGTTATTATAGTTTTGAAATTTTCATTAGTTTTAATTTTTATTTAGTTTTTCAGTTTGCTTTTTTATTTCAGTTTAGTTTTAATTAGTTCAACAAGTGATTTTGTAGTTTTAGTTTTTCCAGGTATTAAGAGAAAGCTTCGACACCAAATATGGTTCATCAAGTGCTTTAATTTCATTCTTTAACCATCACCTGCAGGACAGGAAGTAATCGAGGGAGAAAACGAAAAGACGACGAAGCTGAATTTATCTGCAATTCACTTTAGTTTGAGTTAGTTTTGCATTGTTCATTGTAGTTTTTATTTAGTTTTTGTTTTAGTGCAATTGTCGTTTTATTTTTATTTCAGTTACCTAAATTATTTTTTCATTGCTAGTTTTAGTCTTAGTTTTCGTTAACTATAATAACCCTGCTCTCCACCCGTCTTTCCTTCAGGTGTGGATGACGCGGAGTCAGAGTGTGGGTTGGACAGTGGCGTTGCATTTGATTGGATAATCAGTAATGAGGCCGACGCCCCCTCATTAGATGAGCAGCTGCATCCAATCCTGAGGCTGGCTGAGGAAGCAGCTTCATCACCAATCATCACGGATCAATAACATATTGATCAGATCCGATCAGTCTGTTTACGCCAGGTTTCCAGAGATGGGTGCGGTCACGTGATGGAGTCGTGGTCACGTGATGGAGTCGTGGTCACGTGACGGAGTCGTGGTCACGTGAACCTGCTCGAGAGCAAAGTTAGATGTAACAAGTCTATTTAGCTGATGGCCACTATGGAAACAGTCACACACACAGTGCTGTGTGAATGTGAGGAATCAAACCGCCGACCTTCAGACGAGTTGCTGCCTCCAAACAGAACTAGAAAACAAAATGTGATAAATAAAATGTTTTCAAAGAAGTGTTTCATTTTTTATCCATTATTTTTAAAGCAGAAATTAAATTAAACGTTTGTTCAAAGTAGAAAACAGTTCAATTCTTAAGTATCGTTTATTGATCCGACGCTGAACATGACCTCATGAAATATTATGAGTTAGTTAGAATAAACCATATTATGACATGCATGTAATAAAATGTTGTAAAGATTTAACATTCAAACTAAAAGAATAAAACACAGTCTCAGTTTAGATCTAAATACCAGTGACAATGTTTTAATTTATAAAATCTCGACATGATTTATTACAATGAGTAAAACAGTGACGGCACCAGATTCCAGGTTCAAACGTTTCTGGACTTTATTCATGATCAGGTCAAAGGTCACCTGTAGACTTGGTGTGTCTCTGATTGGCCCCTGGTAAACCTCATTTGGCAGTGGAATGCCTCACTGTGATTGGCTTCTTTAAACCATTCACCCAAAAACAAAATCAATATATCATTAGCTGACAGGAAGCTAGTGCTAATCAATCAATCAATCATTAATTATTGTGTTATTATTATTATTATTATAAGAAATCTAATCAGAGTAACAGAAAACTTTCAGACAAACAATTAGTTTCTTGTGGGTTAATTAGTTGTTAACGAAGGAATGGTTGTAAGTCACTGATAAACTCCCTTATTGACAAAAACATCAGCAGCTCTTGGTCTGGCCCCTCCCTTCAGTGGGGGAGGAAAAAGGGGGTGTTTGAGGAGCAGGGTCGGAAACTTCAAATGTGACTTAAGATTCAGAGAAGGAATCACTAAGAGGAGGAGGGGAGGACACAAAGCAGCCAGCAGAGGGAGTTAAAGGATGAGGGGGAGGAATGTTTTGGCCACAGAGCTTGAACCTAACTCCTCAACATCCACCAGAGGGAGCTGAAGGAGTAACAAAGGGTCAGCAGCAGGAGGCGCTAGTATAAAGAGTGAATGGAACATTTGGCCACAGAGTTCCCTGATGTCGATCAGAGGGGGGGGGGTTCAGCAGGAGTTGAGTTCCTCCATCGTCTGATTCAGCGTCGCCTGAAGCTCCATGTTTGCGTTTCTGGCTGAAGTCAAAGTATCTGAAAACAGAATCAAACAGTCAAATAGGAATCAGTGCGACTTCCAGACCACAATCTACTCGTCTGCTTTCAGTCGAACCTTCCAAGTCATCGATGGTTTTCTCCAGTTTGGCCACTGAACGCTCGGCACACTCCGCTCTGCTCTCGGCCTGGAACAGACGACCAGTGGAGACGGAGTTTTAGTAACTTTACGATGGATGGAAATACTCGTGAATATTTGATTAACAATATTTGTGCCTGACCTCTTTGAGTTTCCCACTCAAGTTCTTGATCTCCTCTTCATACCGGTCCTCTTTCTGAGAATACTGAGAGAGAGAGAGCGAGAGAGCGAGAGAGAGGTGAATCTGTGTTTTGTGTCTGAATCAGGTTTGACTCCAGTTTAACACCAATAACAACACTTTGAATTTTGACTCCAGACATTTTAAGACCATAACGAATTCAATGTCAGACGCATGTTTTATTGTTTTAATCAATAACATGCGTCTTGTCGATCAGTCGCATGTTATTGGTCTCATCGATGAGCAACGTCCTCTGTTCTGAGCTCAAGAGGAAAACTAGAGAAACTTGAACAGGACAGAACGAAGGTGAGGCGGAGTTAACAACACGTTATGTCACGTGAGGTCAGGGGGAGGAGTTCCTCTGGTTTGATTGACAGCAGGTGGGAGATACCTTGTCTTCAGTTGCCTGCAGGCTCTTCAGTGATTGGTCAAAACTCCTCAACTGCTCCTCCAACCTCCGAACATTACTGACAGACAGACGAGTGGACAGACGGACAGATTATTAATTAATAGAAGTATATATCAGTATAAATATATACATGTATATATATACATATATACAAACCTCTCAGCTCGCTCCGCTCTGTCTTCAGCTCGTTCCAGCTCTGCTTCCACCATCAGATGTTTACGAGCCACCTGTCAATCAAACATTACTGACACAGGGTCACAATGAG